ATAAGAATAATTATCCCTTATCCCTAGCAAAAGAATTTAGTTCATAATTTTGAATTCAAAACCGAAAATCATCCCAATCAAAAGGCTCACACACATAGATAAAATAAAACGAAAACTTAAGTTTAATATGAAGTCGATAATCGATCTAAAATTACAAACCTAAAATTATTGTATCCACTTCATAGAGTGTCACTTTCCAAGATCAAAATTTAAAAAAAAAAAATGTTTTAAGCTGAAAAAACTAGTCTAATCTAAAACTATCTAGGAATGATCCTCTAACATTTTGAACGAGCTGATACTTATACTGGTTCGAAAGGAGGTAAAAAACCCATCTAGGTGCGTTCGAGTAACGGCACTATTTCCTAGAGCAAGGCTCATCGCGGGTGCAACGGGTGTGAGTAACAGAACATGCGTTGTGGTGCGCGCGCATTGCAGGCATAACGGGTCGGCGCCAAGTGCACGACAGTTGGGCGCAAGTCCCATCGCGTGTGCGACATGGTGCTTGTCGGTTGGACTCGTCTCGTCCGGATCGGACCAATGAGTCTCATGCCTTGTTTGGTACAGATAGCCTCTCCAGCGACGGTTATAGTGTGATGATTGCTTCCACAGTAATACGTGAAATGGGCACATGCATCCATGACAACAATCTACTTTGATTCCAAATAGGGCTAAGTATGGGACTCGGAGAATTCCGAACTCTAAAATCTAAACTGAAATCACTTTGAACTTTGTATGTAATGTTAGAGTTAAATTTTTTGTTAGATCTAAAAAGATAACTTTACCTAAATGGATCTTAAAAAAAATATATCAATTTTAAGAAAAAATATTTTAGATCTTTCTAAATGAGTGAAGTAAGGATATATGAGATGATAATGCCGTAATAAAATAATAATAAATAATTGATTTAGTGAAGAACGGTTCAATAAAATAAAAATCAAGTAAAACATAAAGTGCTGTGATAATGGGTAAGAAAAAAATATAGAATGAAATAAACATTGATTATATGGAAACTATCTATTGCATTATTGTGATAACTATACTTGTCATTTGACACGAAACCCAACCCGAGCTTAGTTGAGTATCAAATTCCACGTATAAAATTATGTCAAATAAAATTACGAATGGTGCGAGTATGTCATTTATGCTTTTGCTTAAATATATTGATAGGTCAAAAAATGTGCGTATTTTGTATGTTTAATAGTATATTTTTATATACTTAATTTATTCGCACGTTTATATTTTTCGACTTATTTATTATTTATATGGATTCATATACATTGATAATTTTATATATTATTTTTCAGTATTTTGGAGTATATTTGTGGATGTAAAGCCGTTGACGAGAGTTCACGTGAGCATCAACCGAGACACTCCAATACATTAGAACTTGGTATGGAGTTGATTAAAAGAAGCCCAAGAGAACTTTAATTATTAAGCCTACTTTCATTATTAATGGTTGTTGGCCAATCTATGTTTAGCTGTAACTGGCACAAGGATGATGAAAGTGACGTGCTGGGCTTGGAGGAAAATGGATTTGGAGAGCAACTTTTGAGGAGAGGATTTATTTTGACTCACGCACGCCACACCTGCACACGAGGGAGATAATCAATATCTCTCTTTTATTATCTATTATCTCTTTTTATTAGCATGTTAGACTAGAATTTTTATTTAGTTTGAGGGGATGTTTGAACCCTAATTCTGATTTGTCTATGAATTGGATGATTTCTATTTATCGTTAGTAAAATCGAAACGTCGTATTTATTTTGTTGATGAGTTGATTCATGCTATCTGTGTTTAACGTTTATGAATTATGGGTGTTTGATGTGGTTTGGCCAACTACGTTAGATGTTCATAGTTTAATTGCTAGATTCGGGACTTTAATCCGTAATTGTTATTGTCTCGTTTCGTTAGTAGTAAACTAGGGGTCGTGCATATCTAAGGTAGCGTGAACATAAGTTAAATGGTCCGAGCTTTTGTGTTCGTTGCTTAGACTGATCTATTTTCCTAATATTTAATGTTGCTAGTGTATTAAATCTAGAAAGCTTGTTCTAGGTTGTCCACTAGTTAGGTTTAGTCGAAGTGCTTATTTCAATTAAATAATATGTAAGGGAAAATTCGGTTAACAGAGCTTGTTGTTAGTTATGGTTGGTAATTCATTAGCATTTTAAATAAAGCGTCAAAATTGATTAACGGTAGATTGAGATTGGGTGCTAACTGAACCGAAAACTGAGCTTCTCTTATTTTATTTGAATTTTATTTTATTTTGACATTTTTATTTTTATTAAAATCAATCCCCCCCCTCTTTATTGCTTTCGTATTTTAATTCAGTTAATACGAGAATTATCACGATTTAATTCCTGCTCCTCGTGAAATCAACCCTTACTTGCCACTACTACTAGTTAGTAGAGGTTAGTTAAGAAAAACTTTTATAAAAATTTAAATTTGCCGTGTTGCGACGCGCGGTCATATATTAACATTTGTACAATAAAAAATAAAAACAATTTATATTTTTATTATGAAATTATGCAAAATGAGTACTCAACAATTAACAAAATGATAACTAATTCAAATTGACGTCCACATTTTTTCACTAAATTTATCGAAAATGGTGTTTTATATTATATTTTTTTAAATTATATATGTATAAAACATATATTATTTACAATTCTATGTATTTCATTCAATTTTTTTTTTAAAATAAATTTATTGTATTGTGATTATATTTTATATTTATAAAGTCAGTGTCTCTCGTTTATTATTTTTTTAAGTTTTTTAATTTTATATAATTTAATAATTTAGAATATTAATTTATGCAGAAATATATTATTTTATAAATTTATGAAACAAAAATTATTTTATTATATTTAATTATGATATCGCTTTGTATTTTATATTTTAAATAACATAATAACATTTAGTTCCTTATATAATATATTTAAATCACAAAATAATATTTATTATAATTGATTCTATGTAACACATATATTTTTATTTATGGAAAAAGTAGATTCAATTTATTATTTTATGGTGTATTTATGGATTAGATTTTTATTTTTTATAAAATAATTTATATTTTTATTTGATATTTTATAAATTTATTTGATAATAAAATTGATTTTTTTATAAAGACAGATGAAATTATTTATGCGTTTAATGCACCAAACCCCCCTGTATTATACAAAATCTGCGCGTTTCCCCTCTGTATTTTAAAAATTGCGTCAGACCCCCTTCTATTAAGGTTTTGTATGCGCGAAACACCCAAAATCGTCTAAAATTTGGGTGTTTCGCGCATACTAAACCTTAATAGAAGGGGGTCTGACGCACTTTTTAAAATACAAGGGGGAAACGCGCAGATTTCGTATAATACAAGGGGGTCTTGTATATTTTACCCAATTATTTATATTTTATATATGCAATATAGATATCAATCGAATAACGTTAAAATATGATTAATTTAATATATCATAATTAAGAAATAAAATACAAATAAAAAAGTTATAATGTTTTATATATAAAAAGAATACTAATTCGTGATAATTAATATATGAATTAAATAAGAAAGTGTAAGAATAAAATGATATAAGGTAACTTAAGAAAAAATAAAACATAAAATAGTTTATGATAATTCTCAAACCTAATAGTCAAAACTAAACATGTACATTTTCAATGCGAAGCACAAATTTATGAGAAATAAGCTTACGAAGCACACGAACTGTCACTTAAGCTCAGTGCATTCAGTAATTTTATATAGGGGTGCGATTTTAAGTGTTATTTAAATACACTCAAAATTTCATCTAAACTTCCATCAATTATTTTTTTTCAAAATTAATTCACGTTTTCAATAAATTCAATCAAAACAAAAATATTTCGTATTCAATCACCACAAATATTTGATCAGTTAGACTCGAGATCCATATTGCTACATGAGTAAATAGTAAATATTTAATTAATTAGACTCAAATATACATTGATATTTATTTATAATAACAATCAAGTACGATCTTTCTCTTTATTCTTTTCTTTTCTTGGAAAATGATATGTTGTCCGCCAAATTTACGATTAAGTTAACAATACAAGTAGAAATGGACAAGGAACTTCAATAGTCGGACTCGAACCAGTGACTGGGACTGTTGGTTTATTTATTTTTTACACAGCCCATAGAAAATTGAAAAGGAACTTCAGACTATCTTTATTCACGCCACCGCCCCCGGTGGCGTAAGAAACAGACAAAA